AGAGGACGTTTAGTGAGACAGAAGAGGACGTTTAGTGAGACAGAAGACGTTTAGTGAGAAAACAGAAAACACTCACAATGAGGTCGTGAGTGACTCACAATGAGGTCATGGAGTGACTCACAATGAGGTCATGGAGTGACTCACAATGAGTTCATGAGTGACTCACAATGAGTTCATGAGTGACTCACAATGAGTTCATGAGTGACTCACAATGAGTTCATGAGTGACTCATGAGGTCATGGAGTGATGAGGTGAAGATGAGGCAGTTGAGGTGACGTCACCACGGTGACTCCACTGACTCTACAGTTGTGTTTCACTGCAGTGATTTCATTTTTGATTGGCAGGTAGAGTACCTGAATGGTCTGTGGCAGGTTTTTAATGGACAGGTAAAGAGATGGACAGGTAGAGTACCTGGATGGTCTGCGGCAGGTTCTTAATGGACAGGTAAAGCCAGATGCTCAGCTTCAGAGGGAGGATGTCCTGCCAGTGTGGCCGATCGTGAACTCTGAAACAACAAACACACAAACAATAAATAACACAAATAAACCAAATGAACAGTAAGTGTAGTGATGTCAAAGCTGTACCTGTCGGTCCGATCCTGGCCAATACACCTGAGCTCCTCAGCAGGTCTGGAGCTCAGCTTCTTCTTCTTCTCTTTCTTCTTCTTACTCAGCAGCTCATCCTGGAAACATGGAGGATTCATAATGGTATCACATGCTCAGGCCTACTTTGATTGGGTGAATGAGTTCTAATGTTGTCTCACCAGCTGTTTCTCCAGGTAAATGGACCAAATGACAGCGTAGTGTCCCACAGTGAGGATGAGGAAGAGGAGGAAGGCCAGCTCAGCATTACTCATCTTCCTCACTCGTCTGTAGTAGAACACTGGCTGCCGCCAATCAGGAAGCCCGTTCACCAGGATATCATCATACCTGCAAAACATACACATTTTATTTATACAGCACTAATTACAAACAATCCTAGTCTATGGACTAGTGACAGAGGTCTAACGACAGAGGTCTATGGACTAGTGACAGAGGTCTAAAGAGAGAGGTCTATGGACTAGTGACAGAGGTCTAAAGACAGAGGTCTATAGTCTAGTGACAGAGGTCTAAAGACTAGTGACAGAGGTCTAAGGAGGTCTATGGACTAGCTGCAGAGGTCCAAGGACTAGCTGCAGAGGTCTAAGGAGGTCCAAGGACTAGCTGCAGAGGTCCAAGGACTAGCTGCAGAGGTCCAAGGACTAGCTGCAGAGGTCCAAGGAGGTCTAAGGACTAGCTGCAGAGGTCTATGGACTAGCTGCAGAGGTCTAATGAGGTTTAAGGACTAGCTGCAGAGGTCTAAGGACTAGCTGCAGAGGTCTAAGGACTAGCTGCAGAAGTCTAAGGAGGTCTAAGGACTAGCTGCAGAGGTCTAAGGACTAGCTGCAGAGGTCTAAGGACTAGCTGCAGAGGTCTAATGAGGTCTAAGGACTAGCTGCAGAGGTCTAAGGAGGTCTAAGGACTAGCTGCAGAGGTCTAAGGACTAGCTGCAGAGATCTAAGGACTAGCTGCAGAAGTCTAAGGGGGTCTAAGGACTAGCTGCAGAGGTCTGGACATGATGCACAGAAGTGAGACTCACTTGCTTCGTCTCTCCTCGTCCTTCAGGACTTCATAAATGGCCACCAGCTAAAAAAAAAAAAGGACAAAGACTGAATGATCCGAACCTTATGTTCTGTTTTCATGAGATGCTGCTTTGGTTGATTCATCAAAATCTTAACAGTGATTGATTATTGACAGCAGTAGTTTGTACCTTGGCTGTAACACTTTGTAGATTAATTGCTTTAGTATATTTTTTGCTGCTGTAACAAACAAATTTCCCTTTGCGGGATGAATAAAGTATCCATCTGTCTAGATTTAAGTTAATTACTCATCCTGATAGTGTAGTGTTTTGTTGTGTGTATTGTGTTGTGTGTGTATTGTGTTGCGTGTATTGTGAATTGTACATAACATCTTTAGGAATAAGAGAAGTGTTTCTTACTTGTCTGAACTGAGTTTCAGCATTTTCATCTTTGTTCTTGTCAGGATGCAGAGAGAGAGACAGCCGTCGATAGGCCTTCTTTATCTCTGCTCCTGAAGCATCCTGAGACAGACAGACAGACAGATATACAGACATGCTGTCAATAAAAACATACCAACCCCTCAGATGTGAAACATCTTCAGCAGTTTGTTCTTCAGCAGAATCATTTAAATATTTGAACAACCAAAACAGAGTCAGTCAATTCAGCTGCAGTCTTTACTTCAGTTTTTACTTCGTGTACACGCAGTACTTGTTCCTGATTGGCTGGATGAAGTAAAACATAAACAAACCAGTCCAGTTCAGGATGAACACAGTTCAAACGGTCCTGTATGAATACTGTGTTTCTATTGGTCCTGTATGAATACTGTGTTTCTATTGGTCCTGTATGAATACTGTGTTTCTATTGGTCCTGTATGAATACTGTGTTTCTATTGGTTTGTATCACTGAGGGTAGACAGAATAAGAGAAACTACATCCGGGTTACCTGATAATCTGAGTACACTTGTTAGCTGCTGTTAGCCTGAGCTAACCGTTAGCACCAGTAGTCACCTGGTCTGAACCAGTTCAACTAACTGGGATCACTGGCATGCTACAGCTGCTAACTAGCTTAGCTCCTCTGTGTGCACGTGGCACTGAGCTAGCGGCTGCAGTAACCATGGAGACAGTTAGCCGTTAGCAGTTAACACAGACCTGGTCCAGGGACAGGAACTGGTAGAAGTTCTGCTGGATCTCCTCCACCAGGTCCAACAGCTCCAGATCCGCGTCCCAGGCTCTCAGAGGGGGGACCGCAGAGACCAGTAGGGTCAGACAGATCAGCAGGGACCGGCACGGACCGGCACGGACCGCCATCACAGAGAACCAGTACAAGAGAACACAGAACAGGTCTAACGATCCTGATGTCCACCACCCGGAAACACTATTGGTCACATCCGGGTGACACATCATTGTCAAAATAAAAGTCCTCTGTGAGTAACACTGCCAGTCACATCCGGGTGACACGTCCCTGTCAAAATAAAAGTCCTCTGTGCGCGACATCTGGAGGAAGATCACAAATACATCAATTCATTTCTGTGATGAGATAGTCTGTATTCCAACAGTAATAATATAACATAATGTATAATAATATACTTATATATAGAAATAAATAAAGTTATACAGGTATAGTTATTTAACAAGAAGGAACGTGAGAAATGTCTCGTTCTGTCAGAACAGAAGTGTTGAAACGTGATCTGAAGATAGTTCCTCATAAATATACCTTCAAATCTTATATTTAAATGTGAAAGAGCTTCTTACCAGAGATGATTAAGATGAGAGATGAGACTTAAACAATTATATTAATATAAGACTAAATATGAAACAACATATAAAAAGATATAAACAAGGTATATATAAGATATAAAATATAAATAAGATTCACACACGTACACGTTGCTTTCAGTGATTCAAGGACTAAAAACTCGGATGTTTGTTTTCATAAATAACTTTATTATTACAAATTTTTTATTGCTAACATTCAGTCAGTGAAACACTTTGAATTAGTTTCCATTACTTTCACACAAAATATATTCAATGACACGATGTTCCAAAATCCATGAACTCTTTTCTCGTTCAAACTCCACCAACCTGAAAAAAACACTTTATATCTGAAGCACATTTTAAAATCTGAACAAACTGTTAGAAACATTTCATGCATTTTGTAGTAACTCTATTGATATATGTAAAAAATCTGAGCAGAATATTTACAATAAAATGAAATAATCACTCCAAACCCAGATGTCTTGTTTTTATTCTCGTTACCAAACACACAAAAAGCTTCACAGGGATTTAGTGTGAAAACATGGATGAAGAAGATGATGAGGACGAAGGAGAGCTGGAGCTAATCTTTATTTTGCACAAATAAATGACTTTATGCAATAATATAGAAATAAAGGAGATTAAAGCAAATTTCTGTATTTCTGATTTATTCTTGTTACATTTACTTTAGTAGAGTCAATGAAGAGAAAAGGTGTTATTCCTCTTAATAAAATACTGACTGATGTAAAAAGTCATTAAAACTTCAAAGATAAAATGGTCTATGTGATTATTAAGTCAGTGTGTTATGAGTCACAGTTGTTGCCAGTATTTTGAGATGTGTGTGAAGTGTTCTGGTGGTTTGAGTGAGTTTTGGAGGTGAGATTAACTGTTGATGCTGATGTTGATGTTTGTTAGCATCTGAAGAAAACTGTCACACATTAAAGTATCAGTACAGTTACAAACTTCATTCTTCTGTCCAAAACAGAACTATGCGTCCTAATAAGGATGTTTTAGTGCACAATTAAACAGCGATGGTGAATGTTATTGATGAGGTGCTTTAAATGTTGCTGTCTCTGATGGGACTACAAACATGGCCGATATCAGGGAGGATGCTTAGGTTTAAGTCCTGAGCTCTGTGTAACTCCAGTTTCCTCCAAAACCACAGAAATGCATGCTGGGTAAAAAGACACTCCCGTCTCTGCTGGCCTGAGATGGATTGTGATCCTGATCCACATATAATCCTGATCCATATCCAGTTCAGACAACAAAGATACAGACAGCACAGAGAGATAAACAGGAAGTTGAACCAGTACCTGTAGTATTGACACACCTGTCGAAGTGTCCCTTTAAGCCCCCTATGGTTGCTGCAGTCTGAGGTCTATGAGTTAAACTCATCTTCCTCATTGTGTCCGTAGAGGTCTGCAAGCTTCCTGAACCTCGGCCCCCACTCTTTCAGGAAGTCGTAGTTCTGCTCGGGCTCTAATGAGTCTAACGAATCTAACGAGTCTAATGAGTTTAACAAGTTCAACGAGTTTAATGAGCTTAGTGACTCGGCGGCTGACCCGCTGCCCTCGAAGGCATAGGTCTGCAGAGAATCGTAGGGGGGCGCCGTCAGTTCGAGGTCTTCTTTCTGCAGTCTGTCCCTGATGAACTCCTGGAACAGCCGGTTCTTATCCATCAGGTACTCCGGTGTTTTGGTGAGAAGTCCCGGCGGGTGGACGTCACGGTCTTGGAACATTTGTTTAGTTTTGTTTAAGTGTCTCAGAGCGAACATGTCGAAGGCCTTGGTGTCCTCCTCCCCTCCACCTTCATCGTCATAACGAACGATGTTCTCACGAATTTCACGCTCATCTTCCATCGTCGGCTCCCTCCTCCTGTGTCTCAGGGCAACTGTCACTATGACAACACCTATGGAGAAAGGAAAGAGTAGAGTGAATCAAAAGGTGCCTGTAGGTGGTTGGTGGTAAATATTTAGGTGCTAACTTGATAGTGGGTTGGTTCTATCATTATTGTTCTCTCTCGACTGTCTGAAGGTTCATCATCAGATTTGGGAGAAAGAGGTTGAGTTTTTGACCTGATGACCTCATGTCTCTGACCTCTTGTCTATGACCTCTTGTCTATGACCTCACGTCTCTGACCTCACGTCTATGACCTCACGTCTATGACCTCACGTCTATGACCTCATGTCTATGACCTCTTGTCTATGACCTCATGTCTAAGGTGTTACCCAGCAGCGTGAGGACACAGGTGAGGACTGCGGCGGTGGCGGCGGTGCTGAGTCCTATCACCATAAGCTGTGATGCCTCTCGGTTGCAGGAACGTCTGTTTCCATTGTGGTCGCAGTCGCAGACGGTGATGGACAGCGTGTTGGTGCTGCTGAGAGACGGAGAGCCGCCGTCTGAAATCACCACCGGCAGGAAGTGAACCAGCTGATCTCGCTGCAGGAAACCAGTTTGAGTCAGAACGGACGCTGTGTTGTCTGAGGACAGAAGGGTGGACGGACTTTAACACCTGAGTGCAGATGGAAGAACCTGCAGAACTTTAAAATAATCAACTCAACCCATTTACAGACTTTGTAAACTAGAAAATTACATCATATTGATTTAATTTGAAAATCATATAATAGTGAATCAGATGTTTTTTTTTAAAATATTCATCCCTGCAGGTCCCTGCTCTGTTTCTTAGACCTTCATGATTAGTGATGTCGTTATGGGAGACTGCACCTTTATTGTCTCTCAGGGTGAATTTAAGTTTCCCCTTAGTCTCTATGGTGAGAGAGAACAGGAAGTGAGGTCCGTTCTCTGGTTCATCACGATCCACAGCGCTCAGAGTCTCAATGATCTGAGAGGTCAAACACATGAAAGAGAAGGTCAGCTGGCACAAAAGGACACGGTTTGTTTTAACTTAATCACAGTTTCAGACTTGAACCAATCAGACTACATCTGGAGCCTCTGCAGAGATTTTAAACCTGCCACAGAAACAAAATCCATCACAGTCAAGATTTGTCTTTTGTTAGATCGTGGGGTCATGTAGGGATGATCTAAAACTCGATCAATACATTTTTCATCAATGATCCTGGTCATATGACATCAGAGTAGGCTTGTTTGAGATGAACCAGACCGCCGAACCCAAAACCTCATCCTCCACCATTGTAAATGCTTGACTGCAATCAGCTAGACCCAATCACAACCTCCTCACTGTAACGAGCCTGACGACTCTGGTCAGAATAGGCTCATTCTAGATGAGCTGCTTCTCTCCTGGACAGTAGACCAGATCAGACCTCATCTTCTTCATCATCATCATCTTGACAAAAAACTGAGGTCAAGTCGGACAGTTTTCAGCCGCCTTCAAAGCATAAACAGGAAGTCAAAGAAACAGTGACTTCCTGTTAGATCTATAGGCTAATTGTAGTTTACAGACCTAGACCAGACCGTTGATCCAGGAGGTGAAGCTCTGAATCCACCAGTCCATCTAGGATACAAACAGCTGAAAAGATCTTGCTTCGTAGGGAGTCTGGACTCCTTAGAGACATTCAGAAGGAGCTCATTAAAGGGGCCATCTGTGCTGGTTCAGGCCGCTGATCAGGACTCCCGTCTCATATATCTGGTCCAGTGGTTGCGTTAGACTTTATAATCTATTATTACCTGTCATTTAAGTCTGTGAATCTAATCCATGAATGGATGAATTTTAGACTGAGGACTGAATCAACATGTATGTGTGCATTTGTGTTTTTTTTTACAATTAATATACCGAACAAGATTATAGATTGTATATTTAAATAGACACGTACGGTCACTTTTCATGTCAGCACACACAAAGCAGATGAATGATGTTTTTCCCCATATTTCCTCTCGTGGACATTTCTATTTCCTTCTGAAGGCTGAACCTCTGCTGCCAGACTGGAGACTCACCGGACTCTCCAGGAACCCGATCCTCCAAACTCTCGATTCAACTCTGAAAATCATGCATCATGAGCTCCTTCTGCACCGGTGATGAGCTCAGTGACCCGTACTCAAGGTCTCTAGTCCATCAACATGACGGACGGCCTTCACATTTTTCCACCATGGAATACAAAAAATTCCGTCAATGATAGACAATATTTGGTTAACACAACCTCTAATCTGGTCTGGGAACGCCTCGGGGGTCCTCAGGATAAAGATGAATTAATGGATGATTCTGGATCAGATTAGTTGAACAGTGATGGACCATTTGGATGAAGATCAGAAACAGATTAAAACAGATTTCAGAGATGATCCAACACTTTCAACTATTTATCTGAAGGTGGAAGGTCAACAGCTCAAAAGGCACTGAGGCAGTGAAACATCCGCAGCAACATTTACTTCTTTTTACGCTTATAAGTTTAACAGAAAATAAAGGAGTTGAGCATCATTTGTTCACAGCTCTGTTCTGTGTAATTACTGAGGCTCCAGTAAAGAAATACATTAACCTAAAATATCAAGAGCAGGGAGCTAAAGGGTATCAGAAATATACAGATCAATAATAATACCAGAGCTGAAACCCTGTGTCTGAGAAACTGTATTTACATATGTTATTATAAAAGATTCAGGTGACATCAAAAATATGATATTCTACTCTGTCCTTAACATACATACACATGTATATACTGTATATATATATACTGTATATGTATATATAAATCTACATTGAACACATAGTCTTTTGTTCTCAAAAAGACAATAAAAGACTATGTGTTCAATGTATGTTTATTTAAAAACTAGCTGTTCCTGTCTCCATGCTAAGTGAAGGAAAACAATCGGTGTTATTATTTTATATCAGTTATAAACACAGCACCAGGTGAACATTCCTACCTGCCCAGGTTTGGCGTTCTCACAGACGAGTGTTTCGTACTCGATGGCGAAGCTCGGAGCGTTGTCATTGACGTCCATCACAGAGACCAGAACCATAGTTTTCCCCACTTGAGACCGATCCACTGACACACACAGAGACACACCTGTCAGGCAGTTCACATACACATGAAGCTACAGCTAGCAACTGGTTAGCTTATCTTAGCATGAAGACTGGAACCAGAGGGGAACAGCTAGCTTAGTTTAGCATTAGGACTGGAACAGGGGGGAACAGCTAGCTTATCTTAGCATGAAGACTGGAACCAGCGGGGAACAGCTAGGTTATCTTAGCATGAAGACTGTAACCAGGGGGAACAGCTTAGCATGAAGATTTACAGATCTCTGTGGCGAAGATGGTGATGTTGTGAAAAGCGATGGTCTCTCGGTCCAGAGGTCTGGCTGTCGTAATGACACCTGAATTGCTGTCAATATTAAAGTACCGCCCCACATCTGACTTCCTGTCTATAAAGTACCTGCAGACACACAGTTTTAAAAGATTAAAACATCAGCACTACTGTCTGGTTCTGGTTATTGTAAAAGCGTTGATGTTTCATACGTGACAGGGCTGTTTGTGGTGTCGGGGTCGTGAGCTGAAACTGATCCCACATCAGTTCCCACTGCAACCGCCTCTGAGACCACCATCCGACTGACGGAAGAGAAGACTGGAGGCTCGTCTACGTTCTCGACCAGCAGTCGAATTGTCACCACGTCGCTGAACGGAGTCATCGACAGGAAACGAGTGTCCACGTAACGATTGGACACTTCAGCGTACAGCGTGAAGCTCGACTTGGTCTCAAAATCCAGAGGCTTGAGGGACGAGAGAGGGGAAAAGAATAATGCTTGTAGATTTCTATTTCAGGCTGATTGTGTCGACATCATGACTGGAGATAAAACAGTCTCACGTTGAGTTCTTGAAGTGTGATTTAAAACGACTTAAATAGCTAAAATATGTCTAAAGATTCTTAACCAAACAAATAATTTTGTCTTTACATGCATCCCTGACATACATCTAAATGTAAAACCAACAGTGCTTATAAGGGGACTCTCCACTGTCACAGAAAACACAAACACTGGTTTTGACCCTGCCTGTACCAAGTAAAGAAATCTATACCTGTATTCTGTCTCTGAGTCGTGCTTTTGGGTTCCCGTACCTGTAATCCTTACAATCTTCTTGAAGGAAACCAGTACCTTTTCCCAATACACATGTACCTTGTGCAGTGTGACCAGTCCTTCCTGTGTGTTTGGATCAGTGATGATCCTGAAGGTTCCCAGTCCATCTCCATCCAGGATCCTGTAGTCCATCTCAGCATTTGGACCAACATCCAGATCCAGAGCTTTGATCTTAGCGATGACCGTGGAAACCAGAACTGACTCTTGAACACTGAACTGGTAGCTCTCTGTAGGGACACAGGTAAACACACAGGTACACACACGGTTATAGCCTACAGAGGTACACAGGTACACACGACTCTGGAACACTGAACTGGTAGCTGTGTACCTGGGTACACACCCAGGTACACACGGTTATAATCCCAGGTACACACCCAGGTACACACGGTTATACACCCAGGTACACAGGTACACACAGGTACACACGGTTGTACACACGGTTGTACACGCGGTTATACAGAGAGTCAAAGGTTAGAGGATGTCGTATGTGTACGGATTGTAAAGCCCTCTGACGAGAATTTGTGATTTGTGATGTTGGGCTAAACAAATATATTAGAAGATTGAATGAATATGCGTTGGTGGGCCGTCCACATAAAGTCAATGTGTGGACACATGCAGGTGTAACGGGTCACCTTTGACCTGTCTCTATGAGGTCGTATGTGAAGGTCAGACTCACTGCGGGTGAAGCGGGGTGGGTTGTCGTTGACGTCAGTCAGAATCACCGTGACAGACGTGGTTCCTGACAGACCTCCCATCTGACCCTTCATGTCTTTGGCCTGGATGACCAGCAGGTAACGGTCTCGCACCTCCCGGTCCATGTCAGGTAGAGCCGTCCGCACCACACCTGCAGGACAGGTGAGAGTCCGGTTCAAATGTTTTATATCTATAT